GCCCGCCGCCCAACAAAGAACAACTGAGCGGCCCTCCGTCAGAGGGCATCTAGCAAGTGGGCGGTCCAACTGGGCGGGCGTTAGAACTAGAACTTTCAGCGGCTGTAGCTCGCTCCTCGCTCGCTGTGGAGTCGCGAGAGTGGGACAGTCTCTAGCTTGGGGGCTGTACTACTCGCACAAGAAAGGACGACCATGTACTACATTTTTTTTATTTTTTTGTATTGTACATGGCATGAGCGCGGGGGCTATCTTTAACATGTAGCTCACATCATTCTATTGCGGAAGTGCCCTCAACAGGGAGGAACACGTTCGTGGCGTTCCTTGTCAGCGTCTTTCTTGTGAATAGAGTTTCCAACGGTTGTGAATGAACCGCCATAGAATACGTCTCCTAGTGCGATAAATTCTGAAAGATGGGAGGATCCACCTTAGATTTTTTTAAATTTTTCTTTGTTTTCTGCTTGAAACTCCGCAACTTCGAAAGCACAATTTTTGATTGCCCTTACCGTGTAAGGGCTACCACGGAACTCGTACGGTAATCGAAGATTACTGGGAATGTCAGTTCACATGACGGAGGGAACAAAACGGAACAAACAAAAGGGGCGATGGGACAATCGTTGTTTCGCCACGCAGTCGCCTGCGGCGAAACAACACCACACCTTGACTGTACCATTTTGCTGATTGAAGCATTAAAATTTATGTGAATTTGAGAGTAGACGAGATTCCATGCTGGGGGATGTTGATGTTTTCCGTCCCTGTATGTTAGGTTCAAAGTGTCACGCGGAACAAATCGTTCCGCGTAACACTTTGAACCTAACATACAGGGACGGAAAACATCAACATGGCGGCTTTCGCCACGCACACCAGTGTGGCATATTGCAACTGCCTTGTCACATACCCGAACAAAAGAGAGGTATCAATGCGCCCTCCATGCCTGAAAGATGGGTAGGGCGTTACCAAGTGCTGTACACAGTAGCTGTCGGGCAGACGGGTGAGAGATGTGTACAAGGTTACCAAGCTGACAACCCTCGGCTAGGGATAGTGCTGCGTAGGTACGCTCTGGAGGCCTTATACACTCGAAATCCCTGAGATGAGGTAGGCGTGGCTGCGTACTTCAACTAAACGTCGTGGTGGCTATGCTTTTGGAGAGATATTTTCATTTTGACCCAAATGTGGTCGCGTCTGTGTCCAACAAAGAACAGGAGAGCGGTTGTCTCGAACTCCCACGAATAGCAGTTCTATGACATGTTCAAGTGCCACGCCTACTCCGTTTCAGGGATAAGGAGGATATGTATGCAGGGCGAGTTCATAACATTACGCTCAGTTTTATTGTCCTGTATGCCGCCAATATCCTGAACTTATTAAGGGATGGATCGGCCCTGTATCTCTGGACGAACCACTAACTGTATTGTTTTGCCTCGCTCACAAAAGGATCTGATACACCTTTTTGATCCCAGAGAAATAGACTGTAGGGAGGGGTGTTCGAAATTAGTTACTCTGAGGTAATAAGTAAGTAGAGAAGAAAACTGAGCGACGTTCCGCATCCATTGATTATGTTTAGGCTTGAATCCTTTTGCATCCCTCCACTAAGAGAGCCAGAAACACTAGTGAAGACGAAGAAGAAATCCTCATTCTGGTGACCCTGCAGTTATTTCGGAATTTTCAGCAATATCCCTCGCCACCCTCCTCCACTTCATCACTATTTTATAAATCACCACACACCATACTAATTGTGTGAAATCAGAGATTCATCTTGGAGAGGTTCACCTCGTATAGTTCCATAATCCATCCCTGAATAAGCGCGCCAGCGCCAAACGGAGGTGTTATTCGCGTTCATCGGATAAAACGATCACCGAAAATATGCAGTCATCATCCCTGCAAATGAGAGGACGTTTTAGGGTTTGTTACTTGGAGATCAAACACGGTAGCTCGATAGATGCCCTCCCGAACTGACAAAAATTAGTGGAGAAGGCTGCTATGACTGTATTCCAACCCACGTCCCTTCACTGCCCCATTTCATTCGCAGGGATAAGGACTGTACATAGTTCCAGCCATATTGAAACATTTACCTGTACGTCGGACTAACGAAGCGATAGCCCCCATCTCCCGACTGACCCAGAAGGTGGGGGCTATTGGTGTGAACTATTTTGTCCTGCTGAACATGCAATGGATTATCTACTGAATTCACAATGAATGGGAAGAAGGTGTTGTGCAGATGTGGATGGTCAAGCAATTCGCTTGGGATGATGGAAATGTCGAGCGATGTGAGCAGCTCTGGAATGCATCCTTCAACTATGCCAGTCTGTCCTACTACACTGTATGTTGCCGTGAAGTGTTGCGCGCTACAAACATATCTAATATTCGCATCCATGAAAAGGTATGAATTATCATGATTAAATAAGCTAAAAGCGCCATCATTACGAATTCCGAAGACACCTTCCACGTTGGTCGTATGGGCTGAATCGGACTTTTCATTGTGTATCCCTCGTTGACACTCCTCTCCTCTTTAAAGGCAGTCGGCACGATAATTCGGTATTCGGCCTAAAATGCCAGCAGGCCGCTATTTACCGGGAAAATATCGAAAAAACGGGACCAATTACGATCCAATGAACCCCACGCCCCCACCACGCCTCCTTAAAAGAAAATCCGTGTCAGAAACTGCGAAGAAAACCCTTCGTTCTCAGTGACTCAAAAAGCAATTTTCTGACGAGTTTCCCATAAGCATTTTACCAATCACCGTTATCCTACTATATATAAACGGCAACGAAGAGCCAGTTGGAGGAGGCGGGTCAAGGGTGGGTTGGGTGGCATGGGCCAAGATGTACGGAACACACGTGAACCGAGCTGAAGCCCCGCCCACTGTGGGCAGGGGCGTGCGCACAGTTGTGAGCCACATGTTTCAAAAATTTGTAAATGGGTTCTAGAAGATCCCGGAGAGCAGAAATTGTGGGAAAGGATAGACAAACAGTTGGCGGACGAAATGAGGCAGTCACACCCGTGATGGGCGGGGCGTGCTACAGGTGGGCGGTGCTTGCAACAAAACTTTCGAAAATTCGTAATTCGGCAGGAAACGATAGGCAAACAGTTGGCGGACGAAATGAGGCAGTCACACCCGTGATGGGCGCTGCGTGCTACAGGTGGGCGGTGCTCGCTACAGAACTTTCGAAAATTCGTAATTCGGTTCTAGATTATCCCGGAGAGCGGAAATTGTGGGAAACGATAGGCAAAAATTTGCGGACAAAATAACAAGATCGAACCACCCCTTGAGTGCATAGTGCGCGGAACAGAACCCTCAAAACATATCCGAAAAAACTTCCAGGAAAATGCGCGGAATTAAGTGAAACTGAGCAATCGGTTTAGGGCAGATGAAGTTAGTGAGTGATAAACGTAGGGAGTATACCAAATGATTGGTGCCGTTTATTCTGCGCTTCCTCATCAGGGACGGGAGTGCCGTATAGAAAACTTTGATGATTGTCTTAAAGGGGTGAGGGGGGGTGGGGTTACATACAAGCAGTGAAACGGCAAAGTGCTGTAATTCTCAAAACAATTTTTTTCGACCATTCGGCCGGCGAAGCCGGCCGATCCGACTGGTGGTAGATACGGCTGCACGTATGTACTAATACAGGGGGGGCCAAAAAAAAGTCATTTTGCCTCCATGACTTTCAAGGCGCTATAAGTTACACTTTATTAAATTTTTATCGGACATTTTTACTACCATATTAAAGAGCACATTAAATACTATAATGATACTCCGCCACAGCCTTCTGGAGGAGCGCCATCGAGAGATTCGGCCGCGCGAAAGTGAGTGGGTACCGGAGTCAGCGAGATAGTCGATTTCTCCGCCACCGTAGACCACCCTATTGAACTCCGCCCGAACCGGGTAATTGAGGGGATTCAGGTCAGGTGACCTACTTGGATATTCTACCTTCTTTAGGTATTCAGCCCCCTTCCATTCCAAGTAGGCGGGAGTTTTTCCAAAACCCTTTGATTCCATGTGGTTGGCACCCAAACCTGTAGCAGCACAAGGTCTCCAAGAAGGTACGGGCGACCACATGTAGGGAGGATATTCTACTCGAGTTACTTGATGTAACCGCCAGCGCTCACCTTCAGTCGGTCGGGGGTCTACAAAGAAAATATCGGTCTTCCCCTTTCCAGGTACCCCGGTCCATACCATCAACTCGCGCCTCGGCGAATACGGTGAAGATGATGTCCTAGACCGTAGCGACCAATACCGTTTGCCGTAGCTGGGTCGATGTGGGAGGTCTTGCAGGTCAAGAGTACTGACCTTCAGGTAGCTATCTGTGGATGACTTCATTCAAGAAGTTTCGCAGCTGTTTGGAGGCGACGTGAATTCCAAAGGTGTTCTCCAGTCAGGCCGCGACTGGAGATGACTTCATATTTTGGCGTACATGAGGCGATTGGCCGGCAGCCTGCTCCCAGCTTATAGAGGAAGATCTTGGGTATCTTCCACTCTGGTACTCATATCCACTTCCCCTGTCTGGGCTGCGAAAACTTCGTTGATATGTGGCTCGGCCGAAATGACTTTTTTTTTTGGCCCCCCCCTGTATATCCTAAGCAGCACCGTGGCCGCCTCATACGGTCTCTTCGCTCCATATTCAACTTAGCAAATAAAGCGATACGAGCACCAGCTACAGTCGTCCATTCGTGGGCTAGCGGACGTGGTGGGCGTTCGGGTGGGTATCCTGTAGCTTGATGAGGCCTTATAAGAGGTACTCTCCTTGGGAAAAACGCTACGCAGCGCCTGCTCAGGGTCGCGGAATTCCGTCCTGCCAGGCGTATTAATCCTACTCGTCTTAGGGGTTTATCGTGCCAACTGCCTTTAAAAGTGTTTGAGGTGGAACGATGGATAAGGCTCATTGATAAACTCGCCCATATGATCAGTGGGAACCATGCTTTTGAATTACTAAAAGCAATTTTAGGGAGAAGGATGGGCCCGTGATGGGTGGCTCACAAACAGTCACTGGAATCCTGCTACCGATTTCATGTTCCATGCAAGAAAAGAGGCTGACAAGAAAAAATACAGAGCTGAAAACATCGGGTAAGGCTTTTAACTAGTTCCAGAATAGGATAGTGCCAATGATCTGTTAATAACATCAATGATAAGTGCTTAGAATATCATCTTATAAGGTGGGGGGGGGGCAGGAATAGATTTCGAAAAAGCGACTTATCCACAGAATCAAACCCAAGTTTTTTTACGGTTGATCCCTTCATGAAATTCTCCTTCTCAGAAAAAACTACCTTTGAGATTCACAACCTCACTACTTTTCAGAGTTCTCTCTGGGCCTCTACATTTCCCATGGTTTGACACGCTGAAATCTCCGGTACTCCTCGACCAATGCACAAGTGACTGCAAAATTCCAGCCATTTTTAGTGACTTCACGTAACGTTTTCTTTCCAGTGGCACCTGGATGGAACCATGACTTGAACCTGATTGTACCGCCCCTCAAGATTCTTCGAACGTCTGGATGAGTGGAGAAAGGAAGTTGACGACGAATATCACCGAATGATACACGAGCTCGAACAGAAGTGGAATGGTTCTCAAAAAACAGAGCCCGCAATCACAACCTACTGAAAAAATACTATGTACAGAACATGAGGGTATATTCCGTGCTTGCCATATGGATGGAGCTACACCTGTCACAGTGCTTCTCACACTGACGCTTTCCTAGTCTTCGATAAGGCACGGAGCACCAATGCAATGTATCGTAGTGCCTTCCCAGTGCTGCTCCTATGAACTCCTTAGGACTGAGCATGCGTCAATGAGGAAAGCACTGTGGCCTGACTCCACCCAGACGACCCAAACGACCGTTGTAGACTTAGCCCTGGAACTTTCTTGTTTTATTGATGTTTTCATCAGCGATCCGACTGGCCCTCATTTTGGATGGCCGGGGACCCACTTCACACGCATAAGGAGGATCGCCCGCCGAAGGCGGGCGATCCGATCCAAATGATAGTATACGGAGCTCTAGTTATCCGCAGAGAAGTTACACTATTGTCGTGAGGGTGGAATCAGCTCCACATTAGTTCATTAGTCATTAGTTTCCAGCTCATTTTCCTTTCATTATTCCACATATGATCATCACCTTCCATTTCGGTCACATTTCTTATATCTTTGTCGTGCAATAAATAATGCTGATGAGTTTTATTGGAATTGATGCGGGGTCTTACATACGTGAGCGTATTCCTTACTTCTGCACACTCCGTATTTTAGAGGTGAAGGGGGGGGGGGGGGGCGTGGCCGCGGACTTTCTTCGAACAATGTGAGAAAACTCGTCTTGTGCTGGAGATGGCTCTAATTGTCCGAAAGCGGCAATATCCCACAAAAAAGAACGGCCACCGCGTCTAGTGGCTTACAATTTTGCTCGTTTTTTTAGCGTTCAATGCCTCACCTTGTTGGAATCCCGGTGTCATACCACTGAAATTGAAAACTTACCCCGAAAAACTCCTCACTGGAAGCCAGCCACACACGAGGGATACTGCACCGTGCCGCATCCTCCACTTCCTTCTTCTCTCCATCCCCCCCCCCTCTTCCCCAATGCGTTAGCACCGATTTCTTTTCCATTTGCCCGCTCACAGAATGGTCCCATCGCGCCAAAAAAGCTATGGCTGTGCCTTGTTACATCCTGCTACCGCGGAATGTGCATTTGCTATCAACAAGGAACAACGCGTTTCTTGTCTGCGTCCTCGTGTGGAGAGAGTTTTTATCGTCGTGGCGAAGCCGTGATAGATACGTCACCTTGTGCGTTGAATTTTGAAAAGCTGTAGAGGCTGTGTAAAATTTTTTTGTATTTATTACTCACTGCTCCGTGGCTCCATTACTCCATTCCATGGGGGCTTGAAGGAAAATTTTTGGGTGCCCTCACCATGTAAGGGCTAACGATGTCAAAATCACCCAAGGAATTCAGTCCACAACAGGGAGGGAAGAAATAATGACATCCATGCACGTTCCATACCGCGGAGATGGGGAGCACAGTCCACGCTAGGACACAGCATGCCAGAATCCGATCAGTGGTGGTCGTCCTGGATCCCTCGGCCAGTAGGTGGAGCTAGGGGGTGAGTCGCACTTGGCTAATGAGTGTCATATCTGGCACTGATAGAAAATTTCTTGATACGCGAGAGAAATTCACCGCCACACTCCTCCCCCCCCCCTCCGCCGCCTCAATCAGCCACGTCCTCAGTGTCCCATTCAGCTAGTATTTCTGGTAGTTGAGTGAGCAGTTGATCGTTGACAACCTGCTCGACGAACAGTTCTCGAACAAGATTCGGGGATTCTTCGAAGAGTTGGGAGAAGGTGGTGAGAAGTGGATAAAAGTAAAGGAGATGGTCGGTAGGAAGGGGAAGGGTTGTATCGGAGCAAGAAATCTTATGGGGGAGGGGTAAGGTGGTCTGACACCGCCATTTTTCCCATTCCTAAGCTGTACCATGGTCCCCATTTTATGGATGGTAGCTGGTCGTTGTGTGAACCCCATGAATGAAAGGAGGTCATCCCTGGTTGTCCGGAGGAGGGGGAAGAGGGTGAGGGGTGAGTCATTTTTGGTGTATAGATGTCAAATCTGGACCTTGACAGAAAATTTCCCGACCCGCGAGAGAAGTTCGCTGCCTCCCCTGCTCCCTTCTCACTTCGCTACGTAATCAAAGTCCCATACAACCTTCTGGTGATAGAAGTTAGTAGTTGATTGTTGACAACTTCCCCACTTCCGCTCATTTTTTAAGAAGCCAAGCAAAAACGAACCAGCTCAGTATTTGTATCAGCTGATATTTTTATAGCACCGTAGGGTTTTCTTGAATTTTTCGTTTTCAATTTCTGTTTGTTAACCTTAGATTGAGGGTTCTCTATATACCATCTCACTGCGCCACACACTCTACAAATCATTTCATTCAAAACAGTTCATTATTAATAGAGCATATTGCTGGTTAAAACAGACTGTGAATTTAAACAGCTTCAAAAAAGCAGAAAAAAAACAAAACTGTAACATAGAAGATAAACGAACAAAACAACAGTGATGTGGGCATTTCTCCACAGCAACACATTCCTAAATAATAAAACAAAACAGTCATTCAAAAAAAAAAACACAGATGTTTATCCCACTACCTCTTTGATGGGTAGATCCGGAGCTGTAGAAATGTTCTACCGTGGCCACTTCAAAGATGGCGAAAATGAAGCCGGGGGACTGTGTCTGCGTGTCTGTCTCTGTCTGCCATTTGATACGGCAGGCAGAGACAGACACGCAACACGTCATACGGCCTGCTATACGCCCAACCATAATCACAATATACCCTCTCGCAAATGGCTAAGGTGTCATTGTTCCATACAGCTCGACGTTAGCAATGTGCCAGCAGTTTCGTTGCGAGAACATAGTCGCTTAGTTCCCTCAGACACGCTATCTGTGACCCTCCCCCTAGTTGGCGGTGCAATAGAAAGTTACTATTTCTAGTAGTTGACTGGAGGTGTCTACCCACTGCCACCCGGTCTCTAAAGGGGCACGTTTTTTGGGGAAAGGTTGGTGAAAGAGAGAGCTGGCTGTGGAAGGAGGGAGGGTCGTACTCGAAAGAGAAAATAGGGGCGGGGGAGGCGCTTAGCGAATACGCTGAAGGTGTGCCCTGACACAAAAGCAGCAAGTGATCATCCAGCCTGCAGTGCTCAATGGGAAGCAGCTGCTGCAAAAAAAAGATATAAAGTTCAAGGTCTTCATGTGGGCGAAAGCTGTCGACCCAAAGACGAGGGCGCACATGAGGATAATGGTCACCTGTCTCCGCCCACACGATTAGCGTAGAATAAGCCTTTGAGAGAAGCTTTTGCGCAGTTGAGGATGTGGAAAAATCGCACTAAAGACCTCTAGTTGAGTAGTTAGCCCTAGTCTTCATGAAACCTGGCAGTTTGGCTCTGACAATCCGGGCGACTGTCTTGTACTCGAAATCGACTCGCCGTCTCCAGCTGTCCAGATGTTGAAGAATACTGGCCTTCGACACAATCAGTTTTGGGTCATTATCCCACAGAAGAGTGGCTGAAAAGCTTTTTGTGGTGGGAAAACCTTGTTAAACCGTTCCATGTTGATCATATTTGTTGAGTCAGATCTTCTCCTCAGGTGTGTTCCTCCCTTTTGAAGGGGGGGGGGACCTCTTCAAGAGAAAGGAACACACCTAAAAGAAAACGATGGTATATCGTGACTCCACCGATGTGATCACTGTCTTCAGAAGCCTTCGAAAGTCCGAACCTCTTACCATTTCGACACTCTTCAATAATCACTGGTGTTTTGAGCGTGTTGAACCATGGGAAGAATAGATCTCCGCTAAGGGTCCTGCAAAAAATGGTAAAGATAACGCTCGCTAACGATCTGGATTCGGCTTTCCTAATGCTCTGGTCCAGTAGAGCGCATTCATAGTTTGTGTATCGACCGCACGGACCACAAGCAGTCGATCACTCGCGCGGTCAAAGCGACGGGATTGCAAAGTATAGACACAGCCATACACATTGGTACATATCTTGTCTTCTTGCAGTATTGCTGATTGGCAAAATATTTACCGGACCTTATCTTGTGAATAGAAAGCAGTTGTGGTAGATTAGGTGTACATCGATTGTTCAGGCCACACACCGAGAGAAATGTCAGGACTTCGTGCGAAATTTCGGAGAAGGGCAATGACGAACAAAGGGCTAGAATTTCGGGGTGGGGGTTGGGGGCAGGTGAGCAAGCCATCATAAATGGCTGATCTCTATAGACATACGCTATATTCGATTTTGCACGAATATGTAACGTTGTCTCAGTCTGAGCAAAGGGTACAGAAAC